TAACTTGTGGTATGGTTAAAAGGCCGGTGCCGGCATTACTAATGAAATGTAATGACAATTCACATGGAAATGAACAGTGGTCTCCAGAGAGAACGTCCGGAGTTTGTTCGTTTTTGAGATGGCAGTTAGAAGATGCTACCTTGGCTTACAGTATTACAGTAAAGATTATTTACTTGGGTTTTAAGTCAATCTAAAACTTATGATACGTGGTAATTGATGTACATAAATTATATCAAATCAAAACACAAAAACATTAAATGCTCTTAGTGCATTCCCTAAGCCTAACCCTAAACCTAAGAGACAATGAATTCAAGAAAATTAAATGAGTGATTATGACAGCAAAAATGAAATACCATCAACTGTGGAGACAAGGAGTACCTTCATGAACCAGAGTATACAAAGGAAGATTTTTTGCTGAGGGAGACTCAACGTGCCGAAACAGAGAGAGGGGAACCTTCTGTGGAAACTGGAGGCCAAGAAAGAGCACAAGCTGACTGTGTAAACAAACCCATGCTCACGGACCCAAAGAGTTACTGCTGCCATGAGTGGGCCTTGAACACAACATCACCTCCGGATCTTTCTGAATCTTAGGATGCCAGCACATCACACTTCACTGGTCGTTTGGTAAGTCATTTAATTTAATTTGTAGGGTAGCCTAATCTTACCCGATGGTTGAATCCAGCAGTGTTCTTCAGTAAGTGTCTCTGTGGCTTATTTGGTGGTGGTTTTACATAATCCTTCTGAGAGAACAACACATTCTCACTCCAGACTCAACACATATCGTCGCTTTGTGATTGATTTACCACATCGACATATGACATGCAAGGTACCCAGGTTTGTTGGCTGTTGATGTTCTGGGATGCAGTGTATAGGCTACTTCAGTCTGTTACATGTTTTGTGTGTTTTCAAAATACACTTCCTTTTACACAGGAAATGTACCATTTACATACAGTCTCTTTGAAAACATAATACATCGGTACAAAACTGCATGTTGATGTTTTTTTCTTTCAACAGTAAAGGCATGTGGTTACGTTTAGCCAACACACACACATGGTTGGGTTAAGGCAACAAAAGCACGTGGTTAGATTTAGAAAAAGCAGAACAGGGTTTGGCTTTACCTTCATAGGCGACGTGAACATCGGCCTCCAGGGAGAAAGTCAGTGGTCGTTGGACTCATCCACCTCCCTGACATCTGCCCTACCCAAACTTTCACCGCATTAACTTACATTATTGTCTTGCCATATTTCCCCCTGATGCCACCAGGTGCCGTTACACAATAATGGCGACAGCTGCAAATCATGCCAACATGTAAGGACAGCTTTTTTCGTCTGTGTTTGATTATGGAAGTCACCTTCCAAACTTTGGAGTGAGACTGGGTTGGTGAAAAATGCTAACTGCAAAAGCTGAGTTGTCTCAGTCTTGCAGTTGGAGTGTTGATGTCTATTTTCAGTGCAACTAGTTGTTTTCATTTCTTCGTTTGAACCACCTGCAAAAACACAAGCAAGTGCCATTGTAGAAATCTTGAGTTAAATGAAGTTTTGATTCATGTTGATTGTGCAACAGCACTTTCTGACCCTAACTTCTGACCTGCAGTTTAATTCAGTGCACGGTACAGTTGAGCATTTTTGCGTAAGAATATGATATGGTTGAGAAAATGTAGTGCCAGAGAAAGGGCTGTCTGAAAGCAAGGTAAAGCTGTGAAAATATTCTTAATAAAGTGTCCACTCAGAGTGATATTGGTTTTTAGTGGCTAAAAGACCTTTTGCTGAATAGCTCCATTCAAAGTTATGCAGTTCTTCTCAGGCAGTAGTCCTGTCTGCTTCTCCAAACAGGCAGCATGCTGATTGTCATCTGTATTTATTACACTGATCATTAAAAACTACTTCATACAGCCCCATCTCAAAAAAAAATCCTAGCTATCTCTTTAACACAACCATCTTCTATTCAGGTCCAGTACAGGATGTAGGAATTTAGAAAGCTTCTCATCCTTGCCTCAAACTATTTCCAGTGGCCACTAATGGTATTGCAGCAAAAAAATCCCCTGCAGCCCAAAAAACATTTTCCCTATAGGCCATCACAATGGAAAGTTTATGCTCCAAGCAGGAACTCGCGGGCAGGGTCAGCAGGAGAACACTTCTCCACATATGCAGTGGTGCAAAAGTAAACTCAGAAGCTAGAAAACTTTTTTGGCATATGCACCAGGTGAGCAACTTGATTGGAATGAATAGGTGCCATCTTGGGATCTGGTATCTCATTATTATTAAAATCTATACTGACCTTGCATGATGTGGTCAAACACAAGAAGGCAACATCAAGATATAACACAGAGAGACAAATAGGTTGGACAGTTTTTATAAATTTAATATATCAATATATAGAGATATTTATCAACAGCTTGATTTCATAGAAACGTGAGTGAGACCATTTTGGCATACAGTACAGATATTCCATGTAAGTACAGAAGTTGCTAAGTTTTTAACTCCCCCCACCCCGTCCCTCACCAACCCGCCAGTCAACCCCGCCCCCGCCCTTGCCCTCCCGCAGACACATAACACAGAAAAACAGAAAGAGTAAAAGTATACAGGAGCACAAAACAAGGCACCAATAAATTAAAATGATAACCCCTCTTTTTTTTTAAAAAACACACAACAATAAAACCTATTCAACAGAATTAAATACAGTATGAACACTAAAAATCTGCAATGCTGTTAAAAAGCAAAATAAAACAACAACAACAACAACAAACAAATGGAACAGACAGGAGAAAAAGTAAAATAAAAACACTTTGGCAGATTATTAATTTTTAGTTACAATCAAGTAGTAAATAAATCCAGTGCTCTTGTGTACAAATAAATTCATATATAGTCTACACTCCTTTTTACCCCAGAGGTTTATGTACATTTTTTTACAGATACATTTAAAACATTATCAAAAAGTTTTTGCTGTATGAAAACGTATTTACAAGTCATGATTCAAAACCACTGGACTGTACCATTGAACCCCCCCCATCCCCTTTTATTTCTTCCCCTCCTAAGAACGTTATCTCTTTACACAGTGCAGAAGGCTTCTTGAAAAGTTTTGTGCAACAAACAGCGTAAAAAAAATGCCTGTCGTATGGCTGTGGAATGGACAGAGCCCCGGGTGGTTTTTGAAATTTCCTTGCAGGCAATGACACATCAGCAACATTTCGATATAACGCAGGTAGACAGTTTTGTAAAAATGGGAGCCAATAGTTTCTGGAATTTGCGGCCATTTTCTCCCACCTCAGTCACTGTTGAAGGAAGATGTCTAAATCTGTGACGGTGCTGTTATCAGAAATGTTGCCCGTGTATATCGTCCTCCCAACCGATAAAGAGATTTACACACACAGATTTCACAACTTCCCCACTGCTGTTTTGTTCCTACCCCCGCAACCTTTATTTTACACTGACTGGTAGAAAAATGTAGGTGACCAAACACTGCCCTTCAAGTAATCAAACACCAAGAAGATCAAATATGAAACTGAGCATGGTTTGGCAAGGAGAGAGAGCAACAACTACAACTCACAGACTAATAAAACACATGATAATAAGAGGAACCAGTTGGAGGAAAGTCACTGGGTCAACATGAGCTAATTGCCATTTAAGTAGAGTCAGTGAGGGCTCTTTCCACAGTCCAAAACTGTAGCTGGAGGGTGAAGGGGGGGGGCTGCTTCTCCTGGCTGAGCGTGCTTTAACACCACTTTGCTGGTTCACAATCTGAAGGGTTTTTTCCTTGTTATTTTGAGAATTCCAGGTCATTTCCTTTGCGGTGTTGTTTTTCAGTGTGTGCGTCTGTCTACCCAAAGACTGATAGCCCTTGCCAAAAGGAAAGATGTCGATGGCTAAGATGAAGATGGGAGGGCAAGAGGGTTGAGAGTGCATAGGGACAACAATGCTGACTTTGCTCATTAAATTAAAACAGTAGTATAACAAGCACGAAAAAAGTTGAAGCCTCACATCTGGCGTTACTTTAGATACACTGCATGAGGAAGTGAAGTGGTGGAGAGATGTGAGTGATGTTAGAAAGCAGTCAAATGAAACCTGGTTAAAAGCAGCGTGGGTCGGATTCTCTGCTCAGAAAAGACGAGAGCAACCAATTAGAAGAGCGCAGAGAGGAAGAGAGGGACATGCGATTGGACAGTTAAAAACAGGGAGCACAAATCAGGAACACTGTAATTACGGCATACAATTAGATTGTATTATGGGTTATCACAGCTGTTAGTATTAGCTATGATGAGCTAATAATGTCGTATCGTTACTATAAAATAAACCAGACGCAACCTTGTCACAGATGGTTTGACATAATTTAGTTGTGATAGTAACCTGCCTAATATGCATAAGGAAAATCCTACACTTTGTGAATCTATAAAGTAAATCTACAGATGAATACAACTACACAACATGGGAATTTTTTTGAGCAGGGTGTGTATAGATCATAGACTGTACATAAAGACGAACAACAGGTTTCCATTTCCTCCCACTGTGCAAAAATGAAGACATAATATCCTGCATATGGGTGCTGCCATCTTTGTCATTTGGAGCCAGAGTCTGGGATTGAACATCCGAAAATGGAGCTATGGTATTTAGTTCCTGCCCATACACCCATCTGCCCCAGTCAGGAGCACACTCATTGTCACACACAGCTGTCAATCATGATGTCACATCCCTTTTTATAGCATCAAATAACAAATTAAACCAAACTTAGCAAAAGGAGGAACATTAAAATACATCACTGTGATAAGAACTACCTAAAATAACGATGCACGATATTGGATTTCTTTTGCCGATGTCTGATATGCCAATATATAACAACTGATTTGACCGATAACCAATACGGGTATCAGTATCGATCTATCTACTTTTTCCCTACCCAATTTTAGTGATCAACAAGTCACTTCTGTAGTGGAATTAACATCATATTATGCATGCATACTCGTAACGTGATGGCCCACCAGCAGATGGGGACAGAAATACAATACTTTTCAATGCAGGTAAATTTAATTTCATTTCTTTGTGCAAAATAAGAAAGGTTGCTCATTTTAAAGCCAATATTGGTTGATACCAATGATGTGCATCCCTCGCCTAAAAAGAGAGAAACCATCCTCAGGAGTTTTTATTATTGAGGATCGAGATGTTTTGACTTCATTTTTAGGGAGCTGTCATGTCATCCATCTTTATACACAGTCATGGGTTTATATCTAGAGCCAGGATTGTGTTGCACCAGCTGTTTGTACATCCATGGCAACATCTGTGTAAAGGTCCTCATAGTAACAATCAGTTACTGTAGTTTCAAACTGGATTTATTAAATTGGGTTTATCCATGAAAATTTGATGAATGTCTTGAGCTAGTAAAGACAAGTAATTTGCAAATAAATATCTGATGTATCCAAGCAAAAGCATTCAACTACTCAAATGGAGGTCAAGTGATGTATTAAGCTTAACCACCAGTCTTTGTTCTTTGTTTGTATTCATATATGCAGAAATAAAGAAATGTGTGTTTTAGAGTAAGTAGTATTGAGTCAGGTCTCAACTTGGCAAAGTCTGAACTTACAAACTGCCGGTGCAATCAGCTCCAGATCCAAAGATTAAGAACTTATTACATTTAAAAGGGTGCATCTGAAATTTAAGACTGACGCATATAATAGTACATCAAGCAACATTTTCTGGATTGAGTGTTAGGTAACTGCGTGCTGGATATTATGCAACCCTTCATCAAGTACTAAAGGACTTCAAGTAATTATTAATTAACAAAAACTGACCTTGGGTGAGAAACACGTGCACCTACACAACATCATACCGGTACTACATAACGGAATATATGTACATAAACATACACAAAGTTAACTGTTCTTCGGCATTAGGGAGTAAGAAAATGTTGACAGATTTGAGTTCTGCGATAACATGTTTTGTGATGCTGTATCGATTCTCAAAAACTTTGTGTCAATTTGAATCTTTCCTGGCAATGGATAGCAGCGTTGAAATCTATCTTCAGCCATCTGACTCATCCGCTCCAACTTACCTATCACTAGCATAAACGCAAAGAACACGGGCCTATGAAACAGGCAATCATAAAGGTTGTACCGCTAGCTCCTAAAATTAGATAAAAAAACAAATCGCAATATATCACCTTGCTTACAGTATCACAATATATTCAGTCGTAACCCCTGTATCTTAAAGCATATTGTATTGCCTGATTCTTGTCAATACACAGCTCTATTCAGTGTGAGAAGTGCTCAACTTGATCCTTTTGACTGCAGTCGCTTGTTCATGTAGCTAAATGATATTACATCTATGATTTCACTTCCATTAGGTCACTGATTAGCTCCTGAATGGACACCATACTGTCAAAGCATGTCCTCTCCTACCACTACAATTACTACTGGCTATATGATGAATGACAAAAGTCCCTCTCTGGACTTTCCCAGCGTCCTTCAGAGGAGACGGCTGCTCTCAAGGTGGCCAACGATGTGGACCAGCCAATCTGTCTTCGCACTGTAGCAATAATAACTTTTCTACCATGCCACGCTCAGTCACCTCAATAAATAAGCAATTTATTTTCCTAACTGCGAACCCTCTGTATGGAACTCCATTAGACCTGCAGCAAACATGGACCTGAAGGGAAAGTATGTGGAGTGCAGAGCTGGCTCAGCCCAGGGTTCAATCCAGCAGCGGGTTTGTGATTTATTTAATCTTAAATTCACAAAGATATCTGACCTGTTTCATCTTCCTTGGTATCTTACATCATCTTCAACTTTCCTTTAGGACTTAAGATATCGGATTTTATTAAACATTTGAAGTTGTGAGCGTTCATGACAATATTCCCACGGCCGTCATACTCACTGGAAATATCAGAAAATTACCACTGTTCATACCAAAATGCAGTTGTGTCAATTTAACTGTTTGTTATATGTCAATTCAATATTCTGCCATAAAACAAACACAGAATGACGCTACCAAGCCAGGATCATGGATCACGCTGAGGTGAGTCACAGTCTTCCTCACAGTGTCATGCATTTTATTTCGCTTTGCTAAAGTTAAGATGAAGGGAGATGGTCTCCCCCTTGTGCTCAATCCTCCTTCATTAGATAGACGCAGGGGAGTGCAGTGCTGGAGAGGACTATAATTTACCTGTCTAGCATGCCACTTGTCACATACAGAACATACAAATCCCCCACTGTGCATCGTAAACTGAGCGGAGAGAGTGCCATCTTTCCGAGGGAGGTGAGTGGGAATGAGTGTCAGGAAAGTGCGACACAACATCAGCAGAAATCCGGCACAATAAATGGCCCGCTATTCATCTTCCGAGCACAAACCTGTTTGCTTACGGTTTAGTCTGAGTCCTGGCAGTCATTTCCTGCCTACCTTTGTCTCTGTCTTTCTCTCTTCCCCCCCCTTTGGTTACCCGAGCATCTACACTGAGCAAACATTTCCAGGAAATAGTCAGAACTATGAAAAATAACTACCATTAATCAACTGTTTGCTTGCATGCACATACTGTCTGTATTGTATAAGATGAATACATATGCTGTTTCTGTACTGAGCCTACATTGGAAGACTTTTAATGTTTGCATTCTATACTTGTTTTTGCTTGTAATAAAAAAAGACTACGGATGCGACGGACAAAATCATCTCGCGGCTCAGCTCAGCTGCACAACATTGTTCAAATTTGTTATTCTAAGAATGGAAGACTAGTGTTGTAGGTAGAATTCGGACAATGTAAAACACCTCCATACATTGTATAATTCATTCTAAGTGTGCTTAACAACTAGAAGATGCCCTTTATTGAGACCAAGTGACGTCCAGAGTAGGAAAGTTGTTATTCTTTAACTACTTGTAACAGCGATCGTTTAACTTGTCATAGCGGCCTATAGTAATTCACTATTAAAACACATTATAAGCAATTATTGTGATAGTCAGTGAGCATGATTTCCATCTGATTTGATGGACTGGAAGCATGTCTGCGGCAAGCCAATGGAAGATCAGCTCTTTACGCTGGTTTACACGCTGCCTCTCTATCCAGCTTTCAAATCAAATCAGCGCCCGGCTCAGTCAGCCTCAACGTATTACTCATCTGCTCACACAAAACAGGGCCACTAACAACCACGCTCAACAGTCAGTGACAGCGGAAAGTGATTCCTTCCAAATGTGGGCTCTTTTTCTGCAGCTTCTAATCCAGAAAATACACAGCCACATTGTTAAAAAAAGGCGGGGATGAAAGACTGAGAAAGACTAAGCAGCGCTGTGAAGCCACTGAAACACAGGGATTGATGTGAAGTTATGAAACCATGTTATGTTGAACCAAAGGAAAAGTGACGTTTTGGGAGCTATAGTATAGCTATAAGAGAAATGTAGTGTTATAGACTTTTGGAGCCAAAAATACAGCAAAAATGTGTACCTTGAAGTTGTCTATTGCTAATAAAATTTGCATCGATAGATCAATTTAAAGGCATACTATGCAGGATTCAAACTTGGCCCCTCCTCCTCAGCTCAACAAGACTGAGAGAGCAGCGCTGGTCATGAAACCCAGAGAGTGAATAAAGAGAAGGAGCGGCGTACACGAAAACAAAGCAGTGAATCAGAGAAATAAAACACTATTTTCTGATTTTTTCATAGCGCTTATGTTCTAAAGCAGAAATAATTACACCTTCGCACAACCCTGCAGGAAGGCGCCGCGTTGCCAGACTGTGGGAATTCTGCTGAAGCATTCTGCAATTCTGCATGCTTGTGTGTGTGGCAAAATCTTGCCCTCGATCAAACAGACTCACAGACCTGCAGGTGACATCCACAGAGTGGAGAAGAGAGACGGCTGGTTGCTACGTTTTTATAGAGTCCTGACCTTGCGCTGCTATTGGCTGGGGGCTACACACCTCCATGTATTTTTTACACTCTTTTTTTTTAAGGAAAATCCTGTGTAGTATGCCTTTAATCAGTAAAACAAAATATACACCCTACTTTCCTAGCCTTACTCTGTGTCAGGATATGTTTACAGAAGCTGCAACATATTGACGTTTTCTTCCCTATTATTTTATTTGTTCTACTTCACAAGCCTTACATGAAGTTGCAAATGGATCTTCATTTTCATACTGTCGTAATCAAAGCCTCTCTCATACCCTAGATGACCTTGCTTTCTAATGCTTCAATTTCTAGGACACCATTTCCTCATGATTTCAATACAGCACATGCAACTATGCAATTAAATGTATTTAGATTCAGAGAACATACAAAATGTCCTGTCTTTTGAATTACTACCCGAATGATGAGAAGATTTTTGTGTTTGGGTTGAGAGTCTTAGAACTCAGAAACTCAAAGCACCATTTTCACATGTCAAAACAGTCACAGGAAGGTGTTTTGTGACAGTCTGCTGTCTAGAAATTAAGGTTTACCTCTAAAATATCAATGGCAGCAGACACAAACACAAAAAGTCAGAAACAGGTGTGAGTCCTAACACCCACAGCGAATGAACAAACAATCCCAAGTTCATTATCGACTGTACGCATACCTCTAATACCAGGAGAGAGGATTACCCATAAGCCTTTGCCTTTTCTGCCCTGCTGCTTTCTGCCCTGAGGCACTACCCTCTGGTGGCACAAATCCTCCCATTCCCCTCAAAAAAAAAAAGCCCCCTCCCTAACTCTTTCACCCCAAAATCACCTCCAAACATGCACACAACCCCATCATTTTTTCTGTCTCCTTTCCCCTTGGCTATATTTAGCTTTGCCTGCCTACATACAATATGTCAAGGGGCGAAGGGTGTGAAAAAGGATGACAATCCCCCTCTTTTAAAATCTGTTATGTCAACTCAAGATGCAAAGGGAGCTATGAAGAAAAATCACGTCCTTGCCTGCTACTGTACGTCCTTGCCAACTTGAAGCGGTCTGACTGTAGCACTGTGCGCTGAGAGATGCTGATCACATATTTACAACAGCAAAGAAACATACAAATAAATAAAATGAGGAATTAAAAACAATGCATGCTGGCTTTTCCCCCCCTGTACGGTGGCTTCTATTTACAATGTGCACTGAGACAGCCAAATGAGGTTAGTTTGAACAAAATCATCAAGCAGCATTTTTACACACCACTACAGCTAACAAGAGGCAGAGAGAGGAGAGGAGTGGAGCAGAGGCTGCTAATGAACTAGCACTAAGGGAAGTAGTAGTGGCTAGTAGTGGTAGTAATGTTACTCCAGTGGAGAAAGTAGGAGAGGGAGGTAGGGGGGATTTACAAGATGTACATGTCATCCCTGCTCCTCAAAAAGGGGAGGCAAAATGAGGACTCCTTCTCTTTCTCCTCTGCGTTGTACTGGCCTCATTGTAGTGGTGTAGAGGCTGTGGTGAGAGGAGGGGCCAGGATGGGATTGGGGAGTGGGGGGTGCAGGCTGCATCACCCCCCCCTCAGGGATAGCCATCATCCTCCAGACTGAGTGCCACGCGCTGCAAACAGCAGATAAAAAGACTGTTACCACAAGTAGGATGGTGTAGGGGAGAGAAAGAGAAGTGAGATGCACATAAAGAAAACAGAGCGGTGTGATGGACCGAGAATGAGGAAAGAACTCAGAGAGAGATTCAAGTCTAGATGGCACCCAGGAAAGAAATGGCAGCTTCATATAGCATCCATTCTCCTGCTCCTTCCTCACTTCTCTCTCCTCTCCTCTCCCCGACCTTCCCCTTCTCCTCTTTCCAACCCCCCCCCCCCCCCCCCCCCCCCCCCCCCCCCCCCCCCCCCCCCCCCCCCTTGTTCATTCCCTCCTTCTCTGGCTGCTCCTATGCGAGGAATGCAGGATGCTTGCCTACGGCTGAAAATGTCTGGCCCACATAATGCCAACCTGATTTCTCTGGCTGTCTGAGTTGCCACACTGCCACAAAAGGAAAGGAAAAGAGGGGAGAGGGGGAAAAAAAAGAGGTCAGGAGAGGAAGAAAACAAGTAAAAAAATTTAAAAGACAATAAAAGAGATTTGTGCAGATGTAAATAACAAAACTGGGAGAGTGTAGTTCCCTCTCTGCAGCCCTTCACTGAGGGTGGTTGTTAATTTGACCTTGAATCTTAATATGACTCTGTCGTGCACCTGTTTCCTGTGTGTGTGTGTGTGTATGAGAGAGTGTGTATCTCCAGCCTGTCATCGTGCCAATGATACCCAGAATTCTTTGCCTCCTTTCTCTCTGGAGCAACACAAAGAAATCTGTGTTACCATGCCAACCGATCAAAGCGCTAGACTCCCACCCCCCTATAATCCTTTTTGGCCGCCCTTCCCTGCTCGCTTTCCGATAGCTAAAATGACAAATATATTCAATAAATGTCAGATGTGTCTTGTACGTTTAAGTGCAGTTCGAGCAAATCACAGCTGGCATTGTTTCAGGAGTTTCCATAAGTGATTCGCAAAAAAATGCACCTGCATCAACGGGAAATCAACAGGGTAGTCTGCAACTTGTGAAATGTGGAGAATCATGGTTTCTGCAACTGCACTCAAGACAAATAAGAGGTAAATTCTTTTGGGCTGTCCTTGTTTCTGATTAGTGCTCCCCTTTTTATCCTCCTCGTCTTATTTACACCCTAACACAAAAATAAAATCGACATAAGAGCAATGCCATGATGTTGCTATCCACTCTAAAAATCCAATTTATTTGTAGACCGGTCTAGTCCTGTGCTCTGACGTCTTTTCAGTCAAATGTCTGACCATAAAGCGAGTCTTCTTTCTCCTCAAAGGCATCTCAACACTAAAATCATTTTTGTTCTACCAAGAAATCGAAGCCACTGCAGATGCCCCCCATCATGCATCTCTCTTTCATATGATCTGCACTGCCTCGAGACAGCAGTAATTATTTAAGCCTCAGTGGCCCTCTTATGTCTGGATAACCCTTTATTATTTGTAGCAGCAAAGTTAACAAAGACAACATCAACAAAGTTCCTCTCTGACAAGGATGCTACCTGATGGCACATTTTCTGTCGTGTCCATGTTGAGAAAATTTAAACTTTTGCATCTGCTGCTTCTGTAAACAAAGATGATATGCGTCTGTGTAAGGAGTCTGATAAGAAAACGGGCGCCTCGTGAGAAACACGTCTCGCCCAGTAACGGAACAAACACGTCAATCACTAGAAAAACGAACACAACGTACAAGGGATGACAGGTTGGCGACAAGAATGTGATGGTGATAAACATATGTACTGTATGATTATGGTCATGAAGGTGACATAAATGTGATGTACTTGGGATGGGCGCATGTGTGTGTATGATTGGTGTTTTCAGTGATTACTGCAAAAATGATGTGTGAGAGTTTGGGCATGTGCGTGTGCAAGCCTGTTCTTTCTTTCCTCCAGGCCTACATGTACAACAAACGGGCTTTTTCCAAACCCCTGCCCATCCTCCCATATCCCAAATATTCCAAACTCCTTCCTTTCCTCTGCAGCTTCTCTCATTTGCTGCTGGAAAGCATCGGTGCCCCTGAGTACCAGTGAGAGTTGCTGTCTGTGACGCCGCCCCCTAGAGGAAGCGCTATGAAGGGCTGACTGTGGCTGCCACTCACTGCTGGGTACACGTGACCGATGGACTCGCTGTGTCGCCCGATGTGGATTTCGTCGTCGTCGTCCTCCGTGGTTTTGCGGTAAACAGGGTTGTCGAAGTTCATGCTCTTGGTGTTCTTGCGCCGCCAGTTGCGCCAAACCAGGTATCCGCCGGTGCAGAGCAATCCGATGACCACTGTGGCAAGGATAGGGACTGCATGTGTTTAACACACACACAACAACAACACACGGCGGGAGCGTTAACACAGCCCAGGGGACACAGAGCGGCGCTTTAAGCACTCACACACACAAACACGCCTCACACACTTTCCTTCATGTACTGAGGGCTCATTGTTTTCTGTCTTTAATTTTTCAAAATTGTATATAATTTAATGCACACCTGTCAGTAAGGTTTGTAGGGGAATTAAATCAAGAGGAAAAGTCGTCCCGTTTGGAGAAGCAGGCAGTAGAACTGCCACAGTGGCCAAAAAATGTATTGCTGTTGATGGGGGTTAGCAGCAAAACATGTTTTAGCATCCTAAAAAAAGGTCTGCATCAGTTTAACTGTATTTAGAGTATTTTCACCACATTTCCCTGCCATCAGACAGCGATTTCCAATGGAGAGCAGAAGCCGTTGTATCACAGTCCTCAAAGCCAGACTCCACTGAGAAAAACAGTGATTTAACATCACTGCCATCATCATTTAGGTAGTTTGTGTCTTGTGTGACTTTGTTGGTTAGTTCAGATTCACCAGAGTCACACAATGACACAAACTAGGGGCGCTTTCACACTTGCCCTGTTTGGTCCAGTTCAGTCAAACTCAAGTTTGTTTGCCCCCCAAGTCGGTTTCATTTGGGCAGGTGTGAACACAGCAATCACACTTGGGTACACAACAAAACAACAGGACCGAGACCTTCTTGAAGAGGTGGTCTTGGTCCGGTTCCAAACGAACTCTAGTGCAGTTCGTTTGTAGTGAGAACGTGTTCCGTCCTCAATACGGACCAAGATGAGTCGCATTACGCATTGTTTGGGTTAAACAAGAGCATGTCACAGTTCTGGAGGATTATTAATGTGCACCTCCTCCTGTACTTCCTTAATATGCACATTCAGCACATCTAATGCATCAAAACATTGTTTTCTAGTTGGAGCCGTGCCTCGTTTTCAAACTGTATGGTTTGACTAAAGTGAACAATGACAGCAATATAGTCCACGATGACCAGTGCTTAAATCAACCTGTGTAGTCATCCCTCCATTGTGACGTTAGAAAGTGTTGCATTTCTCTTGCAACTGTACTCTTCTTCAATGTTTTGTTTACTTCCCAGATTTTTCCCGCATGGAAATTCTGATCAATCAAGAGCAGCTTTCTTGTGCAAGACATTTTATCTGGTCCTCTTGTAAATGCTGCTGTGAGAGCACGAACCAACTCTAGGCAATTCTACAACTTTGTAACGAAAATAGTCCCTGATTCAGACCAAAGCAAGACAACTCTAGGTCTGAAAGCACCCTAAGTAACTGCTTGAGGCAGCAGTAATCCAGCAGCTCCCTTGTTGGGCAAGCTACAACTACTGTTTTTGTCAATAAACAGTGTTTTTGGTATTGATTTTTTTGGGGGTGGACCTTTTTTTTAAGGGGCTAAAATTTGTTTTGCTGCTGCCCCCATCTACAGCAATACTTTGCTTAGCTTCCCTAGTGCTACTCCTACCTGCTTCTCCAAACTGGACACATACTGATGACCATCTTCTGTAGGTAATACGCTGACTACGGATAAGAACCTCATACAAACCAACCTCAAAAATCCAAACTATCCCTTTAAGGCCTCAAATGTACTTGAAAAGCTTGCTTGTGCTTCTTCTGACTCTTTATTATGCAAAGAGTATGCTCATCTGTGTTCACTGCGAGAGAACTTTATTTACTGTAGCTAAACTGCAGTGATCAGCGTCTTCTTGCAGAGGGAAGCATAACAAATTTTGATGCATGAGGACATAAAATCCCTGTGAAATTCAGTTTCTTTCAGGATTTCACACAGTGTTTTGCATTGGAGTTTGACCACCTTGCCAGAAACAAAGACCAGCTCTGCTAACGTTAAGAAAAAGTTGTGTTTGAAAGAAAAGATCAGCCTTCAGGGAGGAGCAGGGATCTTATTTTTGCACAGAAAATGCCATATATTCAAAAGGTGTGGCTCGGTTATACAATTTCCAATGGGAAACCCTGTATATTAATGAATCTGGTAAAAACTGAAAACAATGAGCCTTCATACTGTATATGTACAATCTTTTACATTTCTTCTTAAGTCTCAATCTTACAGAATGATCTGAAACACACATAAACATGAATACACATGCACATTTGCAACAATGAATGCCTGCATGCACCATCATACACACACTATAAACCCCACATTCAAGACATACACACACAGATACATGCATAAATCATGTGGCCTTCATCCTGATGATAATAATAAGGGTTTGGGGTATTTTTTTTTAAGTAAAAGCCCCACATGGTTGCTTAACTGTCATTATTAAACTGCATATTTTGTGCTGCATTTGGGCTTTGATTATATTTTTGCACTAGTCTGGGCCAAAAACACACAATCTGCAGACTGCCTAACGCTGTTATTTTTGGAGGAGGTTATGAGAGAATGGACAGGCGAAGAAGAAAAGGGAAGGGGAGAGAAAAAAGGGGGAGTGGAGGATTTGAGATAAGCTCTGTCTCTCTCCTCTCATTACCATATCAGCATGACTGCCGAGCTGCCCTTTAGGACCTGAGTGTGTGTGTAGTGCATGTAAAAGTCTATGTGTGTGTGTAGAAACCAACAGCCAAACCAGAGGTGTGTCAACGAGTAGAGATAAAACAAGTGTGTGTGTGTGGGGGTGCGTTTGTGTGTGCGTATGCCCACGTCCATAGATGTGTCTTCATCCCCTGTGGAAGCCCCATCTAATTGCTCTTTTGTTGGATAGGCACTTGAGATCCCTGTGCGACTGGGCTGGAAACCCCACATCCTCCTTTGTTCTTCTCTAAATGCTCACTGATTTTAAAAAAAACATCAGCTTTTGTCTCATTTAGAAAATTTTCACTCCAATTAGAGAGCGACATAACAGCCTGACTTTGGCTAAATACCGATAATCATTGTTGGGCTGTTCCCCCTTGTGGTGCTGTGGGTGGGCGTGGTGCATTAACGGATATGAGCGGAGAACTGGGGTGCAGAAATCCGGCCCCTTGTGGACCTCCAACAATAATTAACGTTTCAAAGCTGCCAAAAAATGCAGAATGAGGGGATTTATGGCAGCAATGAATGGCAGAAGGACAGAATGAGGGATGGAGTGGAAAGGGTTAACAGTCTCCGGGGCTGTTTTAATGAGCTCATATCACAATCGTCGCGAATGAAAGGAGAAAAAAAAAGTCGCTTTACGATGTTTTAGAGCCCCCATAATTTATCAAAGTATTCAATATTAGGGATGAAAGAGATCTCAATTAGCGACATATGCTGCTGCTATAAGGTCATTTGCACATTCAGCTGATTTCCCAGTTAAGTTATGCGTGAAAGTATTAAATATTTCCATAAAATTAGATTTTCATTTTAATTAAAGCTAATAGAATAGATTAACTTCACTAAGCTGGTTTGATTGTAAAAACTTGCATTCTTTGTATGCCTATATTTCTTGTATTGTATAGTATGGTCGCCTATTACTGTTTTTTTTTACCCTGTACTGACAATAATGTCATTTCCCAGATCAAAATTTCCACTGCCCCAAGCCAAAAACACAATTTTAGCTTATTAAGTCCCTTTTCCATCTATTCAGAATCTGATTCCAGCAACTGTGTCACCCACTCTCAGTCCACTGGGTCAGAGAAATATAGGTCAGAGCACTGGATTGATCGCGGTGTGAGCATACTGTATGATCAGAGCAGGAACATGAGCTTAATGTTATAACAGCTGGTCAAATGTGATGACAAAACATGAACTGAATTTCCCATTTGCTCAGATCTCATTAATAATGACATAATGTGCACATTACAAAGGCTTCGCCATCGCCGGCTGACGAGCTTACTGGCCCATAATGGCTTTTTCTAGCCGTAGGCCAGGAGGCTATTGTTGGATAATACCACAGCTCAGTACATTTTCTCAATTACTAAACTGTTATTTTGCACTCAAACATCAGCTGAGGCTGACATAGCGCTTGCATGTTCAAAAGCCACGCAATTGTTCCTGTTAAATCTAAAATAAAACTCCTTTTTAATAAGTCAGGTGGGAGTGCAAACTCTCAAACGAAAACCAGTGACATACACGTGCAAGTACACACACACACACACACACACACACACACACACACACATACAGCCAGACACACACTGTAAAACATCACATCCACACACACAACATGCAGGACTTGAGCGACAAGCAGAGACGGAGAAGCGAGGAGGGAGAAGCAGGCGGGCAGAAAGCAGAGGCAACACAGCAAGACAGTCAAGAGTACTCACCGATAGGAATGACTATCCCCAGAACAGCTACTGTGATGTTGTTACCTATGAGGTAGTGATCACTTGCAGCTGAGTTGAAAAAGAAAAAGAGAAAGAAAAATAAAACTAAGCAGAAAGTTTTGTTCCAAAACACCGTCCCCAAAGGCTTTGCTAGAAAGAAACAAGTTGGAAGCACTGTGCTGGAAAACATATATTTGCATAATAAAAGGGCAGAGAATCAGATTTCACTTTGGACTGATGACTTTCTGTGCATGTGTAAATAAATGTGGATACATCATACCAGGATGCCATATTAATGCAGGAAGTAATGCATCAGAATTTGTACTGATAAAATTACAAAACAAATGTTGATTTAGGAAGTAATATATCTTTCAGTGGAGGCTTGAAACATGATGGATAGTCTCGCTGACCTTGAGAGTGAATTTAAACACACAACTTTGTATTGCAAGTCTTTCTTTTTCAAAGCATGTCTTCATTTTGTCTCATTATGCAACACAGTAAACATTTATTCCAGACTTTGCATCCCTACTCCCCTTCAACTCTCACCCCAACAGGTCGGTGTGCAGCGTGACATTAATCCTGCTCCCAACCCTCCTATTAGCAGCAGGCTAGCCATTAGCCAAAGTGTGATCAGATGGCTATAATGAAGTCTAGTGAGGAAGATTAACAGAGAAGATCACAGTGCTGGCCCTGCATACTGATTGGCTCATTCTAGAAACACACTCTGTGTAGTTGGATGCATGGGAAAGGCACAGATGGGAGGTGGCGAATGGGACGTACAATAAAGACATATTTACTCACAGAAATGTAATCATACAAAAGATAAACTGCATTTTGCTAACTGCACACACACACACACACACACACACACACACACACACACACACAGTAACACAAAGAGGCACAGCAGGTGACGCGACTTCAGACTAAGCAGCGAAGCGTCTGAATCCTGAGTCAGCAGAAGTGTGAATTTGGCTTTTCTTAAAGTATGAGTGACGTCCAATGGGTCCTAAGACTCTAAAAGGCGGATTAATAGAATCTTATTAAAGCAGCAGTTATGAAAGAAGCAGTCCTGGAAAGAGAAGGCAAAGAGAGAGAGAGAAAGTGAGAAAAAGGGAGAGAGAAAAAAAGTCTCAATTTCATTAAGACCATTATTGCTGGAGGGATTTTAAGTTCAAAAAGAATTTGCTATTTGCCTCGATGAAAACATTCCCTTTTTAAATCTCTATATTTAGTTCCTTTAAATATAACCCTATCATAATATGTAAGATACCTACAGTTTATACAGTAGATAATATATGCATGCACTGTTAGTTATACCTTAATGAAACATTTTTGATAGAAAATTATTACGTGAATCTGGACACATTAACACAAGCAAACTAACTGATCGAGGCAGCGGTAGACGAGCAACTCTCGACTTTTGCGAGGTCAAGTTACTTTTTATGTTAATGGAGTCTGGGTTTAAGTTTCACTTTCAGCTCAGTTCCCTGCACTGTTTAGTACATTTTCCTACAAAAAGCAATGCACCAAAGTTCGTACATATCCTACATAATCATGAGCCAGTAATTCGTGCATCACCCATGTATTTTTGGAAGGCTGCGATCATGTGACCAATGCACTGATGGGAGTAAAGAAAGAAGTAGTCCCTAGTGGTAACCAAAAGGAGGCAGGTTGGGATGGTGGATGGGTCACACAGGGTTTTCCCTTGGGACTTTCACCAGGAGATCAGTGCTCAGAATTGTGTGCACTTCGAGTAATTTTAAGGTACATCTCCACCATGTTCCTTTTCCTAAACCAAACCACAGTCACTTTATTTGCCTAAACCTTAACACCATAACTTTATGCTAATAATGTATCTTCATGTTAAGTATACATCATTGTAGGATTTGTAGTAGGGCTGCCCACTAATATTCGACCAATTGTTAGTCGACCAGAAAGTTCATCTGTCTGCAAGATTTCATTGGTCACTTAGTCTCTATTAGGAGCTGCACCTTGTCAAAATAAATCAAAACCTATATGTCTGGACCATGTGGGAATTCAATTTGAAAGGACACACACAGGAAGTGTCCACGTTCAGCAGTCACACAGGAGTTAATTTACATGGCTGGTACCTGCGGTTATCACACAGGCTAGTTAATAACATGTCGGGCAGGAAATCCAAAGTGTGGGATCATTTTGAGAAGGTGAAGGACGAACCCAAGGTGATATGTAAACTCATCTTCATTGGTCAACTACAAACATGACGTATCATCTGCAACATGTAAGTAGCTACATGCCCATTAGCCACTTAGCACAATCATTACTGCTTTGCAGATGGCGTCATTAATAGGCAGCTCGTTCAGTGTGTGACGTTGTAGATAAAATATAGGCCTATATTAATGAAGGTTCATTAGTGTGGTTTTGTATTTCTCTGTAATGTAGCACAGTGTTAACAATGTTACTGATACTATTCTTTCTCACACCTTGAACTCAAACCATTGTGTTGCCCTGCCCAAAATATCCTGTAATCCTGGATTCCGTGTTTTGTTTTTGTGCTGGGAATGCAGAGAGATGGTGACACAAACTGGGAATTTGGAAATTGTCCCACATCATTTCAATTGACAGCACATTAGAAAGGGATCTCTTTAGGGCCAGCATGAACATCAAGCAAAACCTGTTTCAATCCCCATAAGGACACCTGACTGACCTAAAAAAATCGTGAACCTATTTTTTTATGAGCAAGACTTCACTTTGTAGTCCAGTGTGGCTGAGAGATTGATGAATAATTACTAGCATCAAGAGTGAAGGTTCAAATTTGTAAGAGCACAGATGCATGTGAGCTTTGTGTACCAGCTGTGGTTTATCTTTTATTCTTGATTTATTCTCAAAACTGCTGGTTCTGCCTCGCTCCACCATGCCAGCCGCAGCGCCGCACATGTGTAACAGCTGATGCCGGCACACTTGACAGTGTGCACTGAGTTGAAAACGATAACACATGGCCCGTGGGTTTGGAGACGCGTCTTGTTCATGCCCCATTTTCTCATCCGTGTCTGCTCCACCTCTCATCTGGAGCACTTGTGGTGTGGTGAGGAGGCTGACAACTTCAGAGACTAGAGAAAACATGTTCTTGCTCCTTAGTAACTCTGGAAAAACCCAGGCCCCCAAAGTGAAGCGACGGGCAGCCATTCTCTTTAATTCCCAGAAAATCACTTTCTCTCCTGCCTCTTTTCCATCCCGTCTTTTCTCATCCCTGTAAATGCTGTTTTCCCTCCCAACAGTGTGTCGTCTTCTAACTCCCACCCTCCCCGCTCGAGTGCCGGACTGTCATGTTCCTTTTAGTGCTCTGCTCATTCTTTTTCCTCTATGGCCTCTTTATTGCCTCTCACTGTACCTTCTCATTTAACAATCCTTAGTTTTACTCGTCGCTCTTTATCTCATTCATTTCCCTGTCCGCCCTGTGTGTCTAACTCTTCCTTTTCCTCCAACTTTCTCTCACACACTCTTTCATCATCCGTCCTTTCTCCTCTCCCTCTAGCCTGTGTAGCTTTTTCAATCTCAGTCCTTGCTCTCCTAGCTTCTCAATATAATGAGAAATGTCTCTGATGTAAATGCAATATTGTCAAATCGGAGTTCAAACACAGTATGGCAGCTTGCTATCTTTCTTACTTGTCACTTTCATATCCTTCAACTTCTCCCGCTCCATCTTTAATTATCCTCTGAGAAGCAGGCTATGTCACTGAAGAATAAGACATTAGCTAAGGTTCTTCTGAAGCGTGTAAGTAACGGCATGAATCAGTAGATCTTTTGGCATTGTTTTACCGTTAAGTCTCCTGCTGTGCTCTGAAAAGTGAGATGCACTGGCATTGGATCTAGTAGAACATACAGAGGAAATGCACACATCCACTTTATTTCAATAAAAGATGAGCCAGTGCTTAAAAAGACAACCTATTCAGAGCATTTTTGTTATCTTTCTTCTGTTAAAGGGAACAAACGACTTGAGGACAAATAAGTGCCTCTGTAGTTTGACAGTCACCACTATCTTATTTTAATGTCTCTTTCAAACCAAAAGCTTAAAACACTGATTTCTGACACACACACACACACACACACACACACACACACACACACAAAAAATCACAGTGTACCATGTGATGTGCATCACAGGGGTTTATCAATTTTGCTTTGCGGCGCTCCCAAGGATAGCTCTCCTCTTCCAGATACAATTTAAGTCTCAGTGTGGCTTTGTAAAGCATTGTTACTGCTGTTATATTCTGCTGTCATTGTTTGTCTGGGCAACAAACTGTAAAGCGGTATTTTTCTGGCGCACCAGTAAAGCATGATTGGTGCGAGAAGGAAGAATGCTGCCAGTTTTAGAGAGCGAGCGTGAAAGAGAGGAGGAGGAGAGAAAGACAAAGAGAGTTAGAGAGGCTGTCAGAAAGTGAGGATGAGTGATGAGAGGTGGAAGGTGAGAATGGAGGGGACTGTCGTTTGTTAGCTCTGACAGCTCTGTTACACGCCGCTCACGGGGGACCAACAGCAAGCAGACCGGGAGATACACCAGTGAGAGTAGTGTGTATTGGTGTGTGAGAAGACAGAGAAAAGCAGAGGACGTACAGCAGATAGACAGATGGTCAGACAAAGAAACGACAGGGAGGAGAAGGCACAGAGAGTGGAGGGAAACTGATGTAAGTAGTGGTTTTCAGCTCCCTGCTGCTTTAATGGCAGGTGGTAGCGGCAGTGATGGTAGCGGAGCATTAGGCTCACACACACACTGTATGCATACACTTCACACAAACTCACATTCCTATGCACAAACCCTGCTCACCATGATCCTTACCTCTGTGGGAGAGATTGGCGTTGCTCTCTCTCTGTATGCTGTTGGGGGCCACGGGGCCCAACAGGGGTGTGTGTGTGGATGTGGACGTCTGACTTGTGCTGCTGAAACTGGTCGTCTCTGTACTCGTGGCAGCGGGGGTCCGAGGCCGCTCCGTAGAGGTTCTCCTGGGAGTCTGAGGAGGGGCAGGTGTCGTCAGGCGTCTGGTCGTGGACCTGAATGTTGTAGCAGCAGAGGTGGTGGTGGTGGTGGTGGTGGTGGTGGTGGTAGTAGGGGGAGTCGTGGTGGTAGGTACAGTTGTGCTAGTGGTTGTAGCGCTTGTTGTAGTGGTTGTAGTTGGAGTTGTGGTGGTGGTGGTTGGAGCAGCTGTTGTGGTTGTTCTGGGTCGGACTGCACAAGAGAAACAGGACAATAATTGTAAGTATTTACTTGAACATGCTAGAAGCTGACAAGTATGTCAGCAACACGAGTTGTAGTATTTTGGCTGTGTGCATCAATACAGCATGTACTGAAAAGATTATAACATGCTCCCAACTCTCCAGAGTTTTTAATAGAGCTGGGTGATAAGCAGAGGTGAGACCAAGTCATTGCTTCGCAAGTCACAAAGTCTTTGCACTTAAGTCCCAAGTCAAGACAGGCAAGTCCCAAGTCCTAAACTTTGAGTTTAGAGCCCTAACCAAGTCATAATGTGCACTTCATCAAATGTAAAGCCATTTTAACAACAGAATTATCACAATATTACATTTTAAAAAATAATGAATGCTTAAAAAGTTTGTATCGTCTTTGTCTGTTATTTTTGAACTGCCTGTTTTGCTTACTGTAATTCCTTTTTTAATGACCAGCACATAGGTTTTGTTTGCAAACAAAGTATCTTTGGTATCATTTTTCCAACTAGCGCTCACTAACATAACATTAGTTCTCCAAGGTTCTCTCCTGCAGTTTGATTGGATGCTTTGGGACTGGTTTAAAGTGGATTTGGGAAATTGATTGTCAACTTGCTAGGAATGAAAAGCAATAACATTAGTTGATTCAGGAAATGAAGCAAAATGACTTGATTTGTGGCACACTTTAAATCACAGACTATTTTCACGTCTAAAGGGTCAAGTACAGGTGAAGTCAAGAGTCATTGGGGTTATAGTCCAAGTTTAGTTACATGTCTTTTTTGATTTTCTCAAGTCTTAAGTTATTAAACTTGAGACATGAGTCTGACTCGAGTCCAAGTCATGTGACTCAAGCACACACGTCTGGTCATAAGATTTGATAGGATTTACAAACAAATATCAGGATATTTTATGATATCAGTAATTATCACAATATGGCAAATGTATGCAAAATCATACTGTAAAGTAATTTAACTGAACGTGATCAACTGAGTTGATCGATGTAACTCTTAAATTTTAATGATCAGTTTTGTTATACTTAGAATAATGCACTTGGATAATAGACATTTGTTCCACAAAAGGGCATTTGATTAGGGGTTTCTGAATGCCTTTCTTTAAAGTTTTATAGTTGCTGCAAAACTGCCAACAGCTTTGCTTAAAATTAGACAGTGACATAAAGCAGGGAGGAACATAATGTAAGGAGCCATTTTTATCAACCTTAATAAGAGCTCAGCAGAAATATTTGTACTGCATTAAGGAGTCCAGAAACTGTGAGTGCAAATGTTCCCCTTCTCTTTTTGTGCACGCTCAATGGCCATGTTCCCTCTCCCGTCCCTTCTCAGAGGGATTCTCTGAATGGTGGCCTACATACATCATCATCTCTTTTCTCTGCCTCAGCTCATTTCTCCAGTCCTCACCTGTGCAAACATGAAATGCGAAACAGTGCAGGTCTATTAAGGATAACAACGTAACAAATGTGGTGACTGTAGAGGCTGGGGACTGGCTGAGCGGGGGAAATAAGGTCAGTGAAATAATGGAGGTGTGCTGGGAACGCAGGTAAGCTGGGAGAATCCCCGAGCCGCTTCCCAAGATAGTGTTACATTAAGCACAGGTATCGAATTCTCTGAAGAAGTTGGCTCTTAAATCAATCATAATCAATAATATTTTTGCATTGTTGAAGGGTGATAGTAGTGAACACTGGGTCTGGACTAAAGCTGCAACAGTCAGTAAGCTACTTTGTTATAATTTGAGACAAATATAAATATGATGGTGTAAATAACAGCTTCATTGTGAGTAAAAGCAGATAAATTTCCTAGAAGCAAGAATATACTTTTGATATTTGTGTTTATATTTAATATATTTAGCATTTCCTGTGTAGATTTTGCTGACATTTTAAAAGGATTCAGTGGATTTGCTAAAATGTTACACATCAGAGTGGGGGGCACACGTGGGAATACCAGTATGGGAAGCTTTTAGTCTGGCACTGAAACTATAAAGAAATGAGATGGTCTGGCTGTGGTGAGAGCAAAACCTGAATCATATTAGAAATGACAGGCCAAGATAGAAAAATAACCTATTTCCTTCAGCCTGTAATACCATGAGAAATGTTTCCCATAGCCATCCACGTATAAGGCTGGACAGCACCAACATACTGAACAGTTTTAATTGGAATATTTATTTAAAGATACGATTAATACTTAATTATGCGGTGATCCCTTTTTAGCAGCATTGAGAGACTGAAACCAGTTAAATATCCACATGGCCTGGCACTCCATCATGTCACTGTGATCACAGTGATGTAGACTTCCACATGACATTTCTTAGCACAATCCCTTTAATTAAGTGCGTGATTTATTGGTTTCAGAGTGTGACCGACTTACCTACAGCACAGCGCCTCATGTCTGGTCCCAGCTCCATGCCGTCAGGACAGGCACAGGTATACTTGGGAGAGTGGTCTGTGATCTGGGGGGCCTTCAGACAGAGGTACTCACAGCCACCGTTTGGCAGGCTGCCCATGTTACAGGTATCTGGGGCTAGAGGGACACAAGCAGAAATTAAAAGAGGATTAAAGAGGGCCTGGGCAAATATGAGTTTAAACATTTTCCCTGACAAAAAATAAAGGATTATTTTCACTTTACCTATTTAAAAGCTTTACATCTCAATTGAAAACAATGCATGGAAAACTTTCAGTAATGCCATTTCATAAACTTTTGGTGCTTCCTCACAATGTCTATGAAATTCTATCAATAAATTAAAGTTTATTGTACAGCATCTTTCATACGGGTTAGGGCAGGTCAAATTGCTTCACAGATAACTAAGCTTAGAATGAGACAGAACATATAGCCCCAAAAACAAAAACAAAAGGAGCAAAAACAATTTAACAATTTAAGACCAATGCATGCATGACGATAAGACAGATTTAAAAGCTATAATAACAGTAATAGTAGTAAAACTGAGTAAGATAAAAAAAATATATATTAAAAAAGTAAAGACAAAAAGATTAAAAATGATGAAAGTTAAAGACAACTAGAAAATGGCTGCTTTAAATAGGGATGTTGTTGCTAAGAAGCGATTCTAATACATGGATGCTTCACACACATCTTCAACCTGACAGCAAAGGAGATCTATACAATCAGCACAGTTTTAATATGGACACCCAAGATTAGTGTCACCGATTCAGTATCCAATCAAATGTCTCCCCTTCTGTTCCTGAGTCATGATGTTAAATAATGACCAGAAAAGTGTTTTTGCTGAACATTATCATGTCACAGTAAAACTGACCTTTGACCTTGTGGATATAAAATGTCATCACCTCATCAATCTATCCTGTTAGACAGCTGTGTCAAATGTTGTTATAATTAGGGCAAAAATGTATTTGGTGAGGTCACAGTGACCTTGATCTTTGAGACACAAATATCTGACGCAAGGTCACAGTAAGCTTTGACCTCTAATCACTGAAATCTAATCAGTTCATCCTCAACTCAGTGGACACTTGTGCCAAATTTGAAGAAATTTCCACAAGGCGTTCTGGTGAACGTGATAACTCAAGAACACCTTGTGGAAATTTCAAGGTCAAGAAAAATCAAGGTCACAGTAAGCTTTGACCTCTAATCACTGAAATCTAATCAGTTCATCCTCAACTCTTTCCACAAGGCGTTCTTGAGTTATCACGTTCACCAGAACAAGACACACGTAGGGATGAACAAACAACCTAAAACAATAATGCCTCTGTCCACAGCTGTTGTCAGAAGGACATTAAAAAAAGATTTAAAAGCTATAACAATAAGATTACTACTGTAAAACTTCAAGTAATAGCTCACAATCAATCAATACTCACAACTTGGATTAATTTTTTATGAAAAACGTTTTTGATTCTTTTGATCTGAGAATCCTTACAGCCTAAAGGAATATAAATAACTCACAGGGTAATCGAGGAATGGACACATAATTTGAGGAAGCCAACAACCTGGTTTTATACATCGGAAGAACTTCTATTAAAAGAAAAAAAAAAAAGAAATGCTTAATACATTTGTTTTTGAAAATATATAGCCATACTGGGCTAGTAAAAAGGACTAGGCTTTTAATTGAAGTTTAATGGTAATAATAATATAGTAATATAAAAGCTAGTCAAATTCTAGATAAAATGGATTAAAACGAAAAATCAAAAAAGACAAATAATATTTAACAACACAGATACAATAAAGTAGGTGAACTAAATAATGTAAATAATGTCTATAAGCATTCTTCATCAAAAGCCTGCTTGAACATGTGGGTTTTAAGTTAATTTTTTAAAGATTTCAACACTTCCAGCTGCTCTCAGATCCTCAGGCAGACTTTCCCAGCAGCTTGCTGAAGGTTTTAGCCCTGCACTTTGGAACAAACTAACCCGTGTCAGCTCCAGGGTGATGAGCACAGAGGTTTACATGAACTGTAGACCTGAATAGTTGAGAGAAAAGGCGATTAACAATTAAAGACATACGCTCAGTTCTGGGTCTTGAAGTCTTGAAATGTGACAGTATTACTGTGGTGTGCTGGTCTTGGACACTGTATAGTAGACAGTATCGAATCAGCCATAATACTTCTACTACTTGCCACCTATTAACCTTATTATTTCTCATTACCTTGTTGTGTACCATACTGAAAAACATCATTGGATAGATGCTGAGACCAACTTCTACAGTAGTATTAAGGGACCAACATCAGGGACCTACATTTATTCCACATCCTATTTTCTGGTCCTGTGAAGAGATGCTTAGGTTAAGGCTGGGGTGTCTAAACTTTCTTTTTTTTTTTGAATCTCTGCACTCAAATGAAAAATTTAAATGTAGTTTCCCAACCCAAGACTCAGCGTCATGGAAAAATATTGCTACTCTTGTCATGTGGGGAAGAAATAGGTCAGGTCGCGGTCGATTCTGCCTCCTGACTTGTGTGTAGTTTTAAAAAGCAGCACATCAGAGGAATCATCAGCCGTCAGGGGGATGCAGCACCATCACTCACTGCACACAGTGTGATTCTAATAAGCTGGGAATACGTTTGTGCTCGCTGTACAGTACCACGGCATAGCAAGCATGTTATATGAAACTCTGAATATCTCTTATATCTATGTTCATAGTTAAACAAATTAGGCTCTTTGGGTAAAAGCAAATCTTTGAAATGCTATGACACACTATGAGAACACACTGAGAGAAAAGGGCACAACTGGGTTGAAGAGGAGAGGAGAGGAAACGAGGAAGTCAGTGGATAGAAAGACGGAAAAAAGGAAGCAATAAGAAAAGAAATAAAATAACAAGAGAAATGATATCAGAAAAAAACACAGAGGAAAAAGGAAGTAGCAGACGGGAAAGAGACTGAGATAAGTTTTCCAAAAATGGTGTTCTGAAGTCAGCTCCGGTGTCCGCTTCTCTTCTTCTCCACTGCCTCCCTTAGGTCTAGAATAAGAACTAAAACATGGAACCTAGGCTTCAAAGCACAGCTGGATGGACAAAAAAATAAATAGATAAATAATAAAAAAAGGCACGAAAAAGAGAGGAAAGGAACCGAGGCTCTTTTAAGGAAGTGTGTCAGAAAATAATGACGTTCAAATGTGGCTCCAACCCATTCAACATGTGTGGAGGTGTATTTTGGCAACCAATCATTATGTGGGGATCTTTCCATTTGGGTTTTGTTTAGATTAGAGCATTTTCTGACAGGACAAAAAATGGTATGAAAAGCAAGCGAGACATAGCGAAACAAAGGGACCTCACAAATTGCTTCATTCAAGGTCACATTTTATCGAGCATTTCACTTATCAGTGCCACTAGTATCTCCACAGGGGCAGCTCAAGTTCATTCAGTATATCTTCATTTAGCCCAGTTAGGTCTGGTTTGTGTTATGTCTTGCTTTTGTTGGCATTTTGGAAAAAACATGCTTAATTCTGTGATATCTCTTTGAGCAGAACTCTTGATTTATTAATGAGAGAATGCAATTAGCTCCCCACTGGCACTCAGACAAGACTGCTTTGAGCTCCGAGTGAGGGGAGAAAACAAAGCACGAAAACACAGACTCACACGAGCAAATAGCTTGTACACACTGTCAAACACACACACAGACGCGCTTTCACTTGCACGCACACACGCAGGTGTTTCGTTTGCACACCTGCGGGAGCATCCATCCTGGGAAAAATACTACATCAAAACACATCATCTGACATGCACGGCACACATATCAATCTAATCACACACACATCAGGTTATTTGTTTATTATCTCAGACAATTTTAGTAAGTGGATCCTTTGGTCTATCCATGGCTTATTCAAGGCTTTGTTACCATGATGAGTGATGCTGAATTGGATTTTTTTTTTTGGTCTGCACTAACAGACCAGCACTGAGCAAACCGTCACACACACTCACATTGACTGCCATTAAAGTGGTAACCTTCGGGGCTGAAAAAAGAAGCCAGTGTGGAAATGCCAAAAACAGCAGTTCCTCGAAGGCCACTGGCTCGGAGAGCATTTCGATTCCAATAGACACCAATGTAAAAAAGTCCAACTTTACAGCAGAAATAAACATGCTCACAACCTGGTACAACCCCCCCAAAAAAACAACAACAAAACATGACAAAAAAACCAAACAGTTTTGGTCTCTAAAGATAATTTATGCATTCATGACAACTGTAGTGGGTGAATTTTCATACAACTCACCTGTTTAAATTTTATCAAAGCTTAAGTTTATACATTATCAAGGGTGCGGCTGCTTTGAATGAGTGCCATTAGTTGACAAGCTGCTACCACAGTGACAGTGTTGGTTTGGTTAGGCAAGTACGGTGTAACCCCAGATTCACAGAGCATAGCCATAGCTGTTGCAATTTCTGTGTGTTTTCAGTTAATGCAAAAAAACAAAACAAACTGTAAATATGCTCTTGTCAATCTTGTTCAGTATTTAGTTGTACTAAATGACCCTCTAAGGACTCGAATGTTGAGTTTTTCCGGTAAGTATATTTGTTTTTATGGTTTTAAACGGATAGTGCACCCAAGAATGAAAATTCAGCCATTATCTACTCACCCATATGCTGACAGAGGCTCAGGTGAAGTTTTAGAGTCCTCACATCCCTTTGCGGAGATTGGCGGGGGGAGTGGCTAGCACACCTAATGGCTGACGGCGCCCAAGACTAACGTCCAAGAACACAAAATTGAAACCACAAAGTATCTCCAACATGCTCATCTGTAGTGATCCAAGTGTCCTGAATGCCCGACATAAAAAGTTGTTTCGAAAAACATCATATGAACTCTGTTTTTAGCCTCATTGTAGCCTGTAGCTCTGACTGCCTCTGTATACACTTCGCTGACATGTGTGCGCTTGCGCAAGACCGTGAGACATCGGCACTGCTTTCATGTGTGTTCACGTGCTTTCGCTGGTCTCGCACGCAAGCGCACACACGAGCACAGTGTACAGAGAGGCAGTTAGAGCTACAGGCTACAATGAGGCTAAAAACAGAGTTCAAATGATGTTTTTCCAAACAACTTTTTATGTCGGGCTTCAGGACACTTGGATCACGACGGACGAGCAGTATGGAGATATTTTATGGTTTCAATTCTGTGTTCTTGGATGTTTTAATCTGGGTCGCCCTCAGCCATTAGGTGTGCAGTTGTGCTGCTAGCCACTTCTCCCTCGGATTTCCGCAAGTGTTGTGAGGAGTTTTTGCTAGCAAAAATTAGCATTAGCATAACAACAGTTTTACTGTAAAGGCACCATGGTATTCAAACTAGCACCCACCGGAGGGTTCGGTTACCCTCTTGTCCAAATATGGGCACGTCTGGCTCCAAAAATCCAAGATGGTGATAGTCAAAAATGCCAAACTCAAAGCTTCAAAATGGGAGTCAACAAACCATGTCACAGTGGCTCTGTCTATTATGTTTATACAATCTATGTTGCCAATGAGTTTGGTGCTTGGAGCAAACATGATCAGAGCCCATCATGCACAACTTGCAATGCGTGCCCGACACCTATAGCTCCTCATCCAATCAGTTCGCTGTGACTGTTTTGTCTTTTATCATACTAGACACAGAGAGCACCAAAATGTTCATGTCATATCATCCCTGTATGTCTTACCTTTGGGCTGCCTCTGTTCGTGAAACACCACTAGATCAAGGGGGTTGTTGAGGTGCTCTGCCACTTTCGCCACATCATGTCCCGTCAGCCGGTTGGCACTGTAAATCGCTTCGTCCTCTAAGTCTGTCCAATAAATGCGATCCTGGAGAGAAAGAGAGAGCTGGTTTAAAGAATACATACACAAATCATTAAACAAACAACAAAAAAGACAGGTGTAATTTCCCAAAACCAAACCTCTATTCATCAGTTTCTTCAGAGACATACTGGATAATATTTAGGCTTGTTGATTTACAATTTACTTGATAGGACAGACTAATCTTAAGGAGATGTTTTATGCCTGGGGAAACTTTAATTCAATTTTTAATTAAAGGCATATGAGGAATGACAGGTTTGAAAGCTAAAACATTATTTATTGAAGTAAGGTTAAAAGCATTGCATTTTAATCATGGAGAGGTTTAAACAGACTGAATAAGTTATATTGTAATGGGGAGCGTGCTGTTTTTTGTAACATCCAGCACTCAATCCTGACAATCGATTAATGCTGAGCAAATAAACTGTCAGTATTGTTTGCCACCATATATAGTACCTCTCCTTGAATTATGAGAAATCTCAATAGAACTAGTAGTTAAAAATGACAAAGTGATGAAGATTGTATTAATGCCATTTAAAGTAACAGGGATACACAGCTTTAAAATAAAGATATGGCATTTCAACTAATGAAAAAAGAGGAAGTGGAAGTTTTTATTTGTATTTGGTTTCACATCAGGGACCCAGGCCTGGACCAGTACACGGTACATCAATCCATGACCGGGTCCACTTGAAAATGTGGTCTTGAGTATTGTTCATGTGTATTCGGCTATTTGATGGGAGTAGCACTTGGCAAGTAGAGGTGCAAAGGCATTTCTCAGAGGTGGCAGTCTCCTTTGAAATCTGTGTATATCACACGTCCATGGGTAATAAGGTATGAAGGAAGGTGAGAGGATTGTTCTTGACATTGTCTTCAAAATATAAACCATAGTAGACATAATGCAAAGCTTGACTTAATTGCATGGGCTTGGGTTCTAGCAGTTGGCACTCTTTAATGGCGTAGATAATGACGCGACAGAACTCAGGTAAGGAGCAATATTACCAATGTAAAAGCTAAACAGTGGGAGAGTTGGTAGGGACAACTGTCAATTGATAAATGCACAGTACGATTAATCATACCTAATATGAGAATGGTCCGTGTACTTTGCAGTCATTCGTTTTTCGTTTGGAAATAACAAATTGAAACACGAAAAACCAACCATTATCCATTTTTGGTTTGGAATGACCAAATGAAAAATAAAAAAAAAACAATCCGTCTCCCGTTTTTTATTTGATAATAAAGAAAAAAAAAACGGAAAACGAATCATTACCCATTGTCTGTTATCCGATTTAATTTGGGAATTTAAAAAAACCCTGTGGGAAACTCCTTTCTTATTTTTTGTTTGTTTCTTCCCTGTGATTTGGAGGACAAATGTAGTAGCTATAAGGACCTGTTGCTGCTAATGCAACTGGCAGAAACAGCTACAACAACACTACAAAACATAACATCTATAAGGACTACTAGGCTTCTATACCTACACCTTACTTTTTCACCGTATTGTGAAAGTCCCCTGTGTGAAAAATCACTTGCCCCTGAAGTAAAGAAATGAATAGTGCCAGCCCTGACCTGTGAGATCTTCTCTCATCTTTCACTTTAGTTCTCTTTCTTTCCTTGCATTTCTCCTCCTCTCTCTCTCTTCCTCCCAATTCTCTTCAGTGACACTACTGTGTAACAGGATACGCCACGCAAGTGGTTATGGCACTTGGTTTCCATAGCAACTGCAGACTGCTACATCTACACAGACACACATCAATTAAGAAAAGCGCAATAAATGATAGCAAGAAAAATCACACACAGATGCTGAGAACATAGGAAGGTAAAAAAAAGGATGAAGAGACAATCAATGAGGTGAGAGTGACACAGAAAGAGGAACGATGGCTCCTACGGGCATTTTTTCATTCAGCTGAGGTTGTGTTAACAGTTGTATGGTCTTTTTTAAGGGCAAAGACCTGTAAAGGTCCAACTTCAGATTTATCTGATGTGAGTATATATGTATTTGTGTATCTGTGTGTGTGGTTCAGTCATGGCTGTTATCCACGCTCTCCATTTGTGTTGGGTTATGAGCAGACTTAACCTTTCCCTCACCTTCTCCTTTTCCATCTTTCACCGAGCTCTCTATCGCTCCATCATCACCCTCACTCACACTCGGATAACCTTTACTTATATGACAGTAGTGGTGAAACAATGAAAGACAAATATCAGCTGTGTTGATAAAACAATGCTCAAATATATCATTCCATCTCTCCCTTTGTCTTTCCGTCTCCATGGATATCTTTCTCGGTCTCTGCCAGTCTCCACCTGTTTTTCCTCTTTCAATTTCTCTACTGTCAATCTTAGCATCCGTCACATTCTCTCACACTGAAAGCTTCAAAGAGCAATGCAGACCTGAGAAGGTCATTGTTCTTTGTTGTAAGATCAAGGTGAATCTTGCATGTGTTGAAAGAACTGAGACACATGTGCACGCACACGCTCCCCCGAACACATGGCATTGCATCACTTCAGTTGCAGCTGTCTGTATCTGTCTGCGGTTGTCGAGGGGATGAGACTACAACTAAATGGATGTGGATTCTTTTAGGGTCAAGGGGAGAACAGCTCTTGATGATTTTGTCATGATTTGGTCCCCAGAAGAACCTTCTGACAAGTGCTGAGCCCTTTTTTGACTGACACATCTGCTTGATGCGCCTCTGGTGCCTCCTTCATACTCAGATGTCATGCCAGCAAACTACAAGTGAAAGCTCAAACAAAGCCAACCCACTCAACTTTTGAAGCCTTTGATTGTTTGGGTTTGATTTGTATTTCTTTGTTGTATCAGCCCAAGTTATGAAAAAATAATGTGCGCTTGGTGTTCAATCTGTGTAGGAATCAAATGACATTAGGAGACATTTTGTGTTAATCTCCACTAAGCTGCAGAAGAGTATTAAATCCTTTCCACATGCATGGTGCACCCACACAGGTGTTTCCAGTTATTTTAGCTGATTAGACCTCTTATCTGGACTGTGGGTGTGGATAGATAGGGCTTGACTGACATTTTCCTCCCTTTTCTGTTAAAGCTGTGGTCCCACACACTCTAGTCTCAACATTCACTTCAACTCTCATTTGTTTAATTGATCCCTTTGTGACTGATGACTCCAAGACTGTGTGTCCTATTGGTTGTGAGTACCAACCAGCTCTGATTCTCTGACAAGCAAGGTCACACTGTCTAAACATTTTCTTTATTATCTCAGTCAGACGTTTGGGTGCAGGGTGCAATTTTAAATATGACAATAAAAGCCTGGCCAGGGTTTAAAAAGGCAAGATTTGGCAATCCAATCAATTCATTCCGATTAACCTCCTGTGTCAGAGAAGAACTGCTCCACAAAAGAGCAATGGTTTGAAGACAGTTTTAAGAGGTGGATGGTACAAATACAGCTATTTTGAATAAACTGTGAACTCGTCCCATCAATGACTGAGCTAAGCTAACAAGCTAATGAGTTTGCTAGCTGAGTCGTTAAATCTGATGGCTTTATTTTTAGTTCAGACCAATCATTCGTGATGAGACGAAACAGTTTTAGAATGTTGCAGAGAAAAGTTGTAGCGGTGTGAACTGGCCGGTCTGAGCTTGACTCAAGCCGGCTGATGGTATCAACTGCAACTCAGCTGGTTAAATCACCAGCAGCTGGTTTTAGAACATAGAGCAAGTCACCTGTTTCAGCAGCCAACTAGCTTCTAGTGAAGTCCGGTGGTCAAGTCAAAATGGCCGCACACTGTGTGTTCACTTGCTGTGGCAGGTGCTCCGTCCTGCTAAGCACCCTGTTTCCGTACACACAGCGTGCTGGTGTGCAACGGTGGGTTGCTGCTGCTCGCTGTATGTGCTTATGCCCCCCCCACACACACACTCTCTCACTGACTGATTAACTGGTGCTGGTTATTTATATTATTTTGGCGTATTGATTACCAATACAATCCATCTGATGATCATTTTGTTTTAGTTTTTCACCGTTTCATCACTACTACAAATGCCACCATAGCCAGTAGTCTCGCCACCAGACAATCAGAGATCTCCACTCTCTGATAGTCTGGGGACACTCCTTTCTAAAGTGTGTTTAACACACCGGAGAAAACGGCCGGCAACAAAGCAACGCCTCTTGCATTTTTTGAAAAGGACATGCCCTCCTAGAAATGTGCGCTCCCCCTTTTCTCGTCCGCAAGGAAACAAACACACAGAGAGCTTGAAAATGGATGACGAGAGATTTAACTCAGTTTTATCAAACGTGTGCTCAGTCCACAAGATTGTGGAAATGAAGGACTTACATCGACTTTGTTTAAAACTTTTAACGCAGTCGGACTGTGTTTACGAGCACAAGCGTTCAGCGAGCCACTGAAGGACCGCCCTGCAGATTTACTATTGGTTCTGCAACGTAGGAGGTTTTTTAAACACTGAAATTGTATCCGCCCATCTAAACACAAAATCAGGAAGAAAGACATCAGTCTTTAGTTAAGCAAAGTGTCTAAAGACTGACTTGTGAGTCTACATAGCCAGTATCTCACCATCACTATCCTCATTCATATTTTATGAAGGTACAAAATATTTTCAGCCACAAAATAAGCCTGAAAAGCTGGAAATCAAAGTACCGAAAGTTGTTGCATAGAGATAATACGCCATCTCATCTAGTTGCATTAGTGTGAAACAGCAGGTTTTTAGAACGCAGCAGAACGGCACATTCCAAGTAGTTGCCTGTTTCAAGTCATCTTGTTGCAAATCTTTGGTCCAAACTGGGCTTAAATTAAAGAACTGGCATTCAATGGTGGATTAAATGCCAGAAGAAGCACAGGAAGCTTTTGTAACTAACAAGTGCATGAGTTAACTGTTAGGGCGCAGACTACAGTAGATTACCATCTAGCCCTGCAAGCAGTCACTACACCACCATGCTTCTGACCCCACCTATTTTGCATGGATGGACGAGCAAATGTTACTTTGTGGTGTGACAGCACCCATGAGCAAAATTAACACCACAAATATTCGCCTCTTGTCTACT